TAAGCACGTCATATGTGGGGAATTACAAACTAAGTTCAATTCAAGACTTTTTAACCTCAATTTAGCAAAATAAATGAAACAGAACTTTTTCGTTTTAATTAAATATATTAAATATGTTTGTATATTATTTTACTTGATTAAGACATAATAATCTCAAGTATCATTTCTGTCACAACTTATGCAAGAGCTTTGATTAAACTTAATAAAATATTTTACTTATTTCAATTATTGTGTGCATTTTAATTTATTACTATTAAAAAAACTCTTCAGACATAACATACCAAATAACTTATAAAAAAATATACAATTTATTTTTTAATTAATTTTAAATAATTTAGTACAATTTAAAATAAATTCATGAAGAATGATTTTGCAAGATATTCAAGACTAAGGGAACATACCAATTAATACGTAGTCAGTATATTTTATAGTATTAACACTAACAAATAGCTTCAGGACTGCGTAACTTCGTTAAAATTTATTGGAATTGGCGATGCAGTAACGTGTTTGATATATGACGGAAGGCTCAATAAGTAAATAAAAAAAATCCCTTGCATTTCATAATTGAAGTCCAAAAAGACAAGGACGATGAGCAGGCATATGACAAATTTAAAGTTCCAAAAATGTTTTTTTTTTTTAATCAGGAGTCCATAAATTTCGGTTTTTTAAGTTAAAATTTGAGGATTCTCCTCAAAATTACTTTTAAAAGAAATAAATAAATATTTAAGTCAACAGTTATATATATGACGTGGCATTGGTTTCATCCCAAATATTTTTTGATAAACTCAATTTTAATTTACAGAATATAACCTCTTCATGGAACATAAAAACAAAATACAACCTATTTTGTAAAAGTATTACGTAAACTGAAAACCATATGCTGCTGTAAAAATTTTCTTTTTGTTCATTTGTAGTTTTTGCGCAAAAACCTTCTATAATGCTTTTCAAAATTAAATTAATTTAATAACAAAAAAACCGAAGGCTATAAACATAAAAAAGTTTATTTTTTTCCATTATGTAATTAAACAACCACACCAACTGTAAAAAAAAGGTGAAAATTAAATGAAAACATAATTGGCGTATAGTTTAATATTCAACAGAAAAAAGGCCTTACTTAAAGTATATAACGATACCAATTTAAAATAGGTCAAAATTTATAAGGAAGTTTTTAGCGATTTACTTTGTCGTATAATACTTAGACAGTGTAACTGTTACCACTGTCGCATATTGGTGTTTGTATATTGATTTCACCTAAATTTACATAACTAGAAGCTCGTCTCATAGGTACCATATGGATACCTTAAAAAGTGAAATCAACATTTTTTTTTTTAAATATAGCCCAATCCATAAAATTTAGTTTGAGGATTACTGATGAATACTCCTATTGTCTTAAAGTAAGAATAAGCATATTATGTTTTTGAAACGGGTAAATAGATTAGTAAATAAAAGACGCTGTTGCAGATTTAAAGCATTGCTAATCTTATAACGCTAGTCTTATAATACTTGAGGCCCTATGCTCCACTGGCAGATGAGTATAAAAGAGAGAGAGAGTCTTATTACGATTTATAAAACTTAATCAAAACCACTGAGCTATACAATATGCCATTCGTCTGTTGTAATGAAATCTTTTGAAAATTCAAATTATTCCGTACCATAGATCATTTTAAAACTGCAATTGATTACTCACTTTTTTGCTATTAATATTGATTTTATATAGTCTTATAGTCTTTATAGTATTAATAAGTGGTTTTATGTAATTTAAATTAATATTTGTTTTAATTAAATTATTTTGCCTGTAAAAAATTTTAATATTTCATATTTTTTTTTATTAATCTAAATATTTGGAAAATTTAAGTATTTTAATATAATTGATTTATGGATGGCACCAGCGTTTCTATATTGTAACTGTTTAAACACTATTTTTATATATGGTATTGAGCTCTGCAATCTCCTTTATTTATCTCTTTTTAATGCTTAAAAACGTTGTTCTTTGATTTTTAAGTTTAAATTCCAAGAATATAGAATAATGTGGTGCCGACATAATCGTTCAAATGTTATATTTTACGATGAGCTAGCTGTTAGAAAAGCAACAAACTCTTATAATATATTTTGCTGCTACTCAAACCATTTCAAATGAACCATATAACATATCAACTGCTTAACTCAACTTTTGCAATGGTAATTCTTCTATTATCTACCAGAAGTTTTCAATATTTCAACATGTAAGGTTTCGCTAAAAGCGTTTATAATATTTGATTGTGATTAAGTTTTATCGCCAAAAAGTTCTTTAATATTGTAAATGATTCACTAATATTCTTTGATCATATGAAAAATTAGTAAACAGCGTTGTATGGTCAGCCAAATTTCAATAAATTAACAAAAAATTTTTGTCTTTGCCTTTTCTTTGCTATTTCAACCCGTCATGCTAATATTCGTTTTTCTCATTGGTGGGTTTGTGTTTACTAAGTATTACATACTAAAAAACATATAAAAACCAATTTTACAGTATATTACAGTGCAACCAATACACAAAAACACTTCATTTGAAAAAACAAGCAACAGTGCCTACATGTATAAAATACTCATTGCATTTCGAGCGCCACTTGAACGAGATTAAATAATATTTTAATACTATTTTACTTAATTTTTATTTAATAATTATATATATAAATAGATAAATTATGTAAATAGTTTTAGCTTTTCTCTTTAATAACATTCTCAGGGATAATAGCCACAAAATGAATGTGTGTAATTTTTTCACCTCAAAGAACAGAACTTAAATTAATGAACATCATAATTGCTTTCTAAGAAATTTAATAATAATAAAATGGTTTTACCTTTTTACTACTTTTCCCTTCTTTCTATTTATAAAACCACAACGCAGTTTCTGCTACATTGAATGTCATTAATAAAGCCAACACATGTGCACTTTGAGCACACAATTGCAAATGTTTTAATTGCATTTCGCTGGAATACTTTGCCAAGCATCATGGATGCGTGTGGTGGTGCCTAGTAATGCATTCGAAGTCTTCGTAATAGTGTAAAACAAAAAGGAGTTGAGAGTAACCAGACAATTTGCAATTCTTTGTGTACACTCAAACGAAGCACTTTAATGTTATTTCGGTGGTAGCAATAAGAGGAGCAGCAACAGGAGCACTTCCATCAGAGCTTCGAATAAACAAATAAAATGTTAGCATAAGATGTGAGGCGGCAAGTGCACTAGTAGCTAAAGCATTACCATCAATAAGTGAAATTACACAAGAGAGAAGGAAGGAGAACAGAGGCCCCGGTAACGCGGTTATCTTCAAAAATTTATGTTGATGAATAATGCCGTCGCACTTTTCCACCACAGTGCATCAAATCGACAAGTGCATTCGCTTAACTGTTTTTATTCTGGTTGATTTTAATTAATGTTCAAACATTAATTTACAACAGATGAGTACGTTTTGTATTTTTTAGCAATAGCAGTAGTTGTACTCACGCTTCAATATGTATTATATGTAATATACAAATATTATATACATAAACATCGTTTGCACATATCAGCAGAAAGTCAGTCTTAATTTATTAAATTAATATTAATTTTGTCGTTTTAGTGCATTTTCATTGGGAAGTGCAATAGCAACAAAGCTTCACAAGTAATTGTGCTTGTGCTATTGGTACTTCAAATTTATATTATTAAATTGATGGTGCAACCATGTGCACTTGTGTGCAATGATGACCTCCATTTTGAAAAGAAATTAAAACTTTTCACATTTTCACTCTCATTTCCACAGTTAGTTTAACTTTGCCGTTGCTATGAATTAAGTTTTCATATATTTTTTTTAAAAAATTGCACATGCACTTCATTTTTTAAGTTCAGTTCTTATGTTTCTACACATATGCGCAAAGCTTTTGCATTTAAATCCCAGTATTTGCTTCCAATTCATATGCAAAAAAAAATGTACATACGAATATATTAATATAAAAAGAATATATATTAAATTGTTTGATATGTTTATTTATATGTTCTTTTCTCTTTATATTTTTGTTTAGAATTGCTGTTTTGGTATAAGCATTTGAAATAAGTATCTCACAGATAATGTCAACGACGTTAGCAGTCAGATAGTTTGTGAAGATATTATCATGCATCGGTTGCAATTATGTTTTTTATTGCATTTTCCAACTGCAGATTGTTAAATATGTTGTCTGCATTTTTGCATCATTTGTTTAAAGTTTTTTCATAAAGTTTTATTTAAGAAAAACTAAGTTTTGCTTCTTCCTATCGATAGTAAAAATATGCTGCGCTTATATATTAAAAGAGACATAAACGTACATAAATTTCGTTTGTTGACAGTAAACACAGTTTTGTAATATTTTTAAAAAGAAAAATTTTATTAAAAACTTTTTAAATTACTTTAAAGTTTTACATAACTTGTATTTTTGATTTATTATGAAGGGATTTTAAAATGTTCAATATGCCAACTTAGCATCAATTATTGTCAGCTGTGGTTAATTACAAATGGAGTAAGTTGGCATAAATATAATGAAAATATTTACATATTTTAAATAAAATTTATATTATAATAAAATATTAAATAAAATATTAAAATTTGAAAATATGTATTAAAACAAATTTATATTTTTATATATTTATTTATGTCATTAAACAAACATTAAAAATAAGAAAATTCCGACGTGCTTGTTTACTCGGTAAAGTGATTAAATTTTAAGTATATTTGTTTTTGTTA